CTTAATAACGCGTTAGTCCCAACACTGGTCCTTTCTGTGTGCAGTTTGCATTTTCTCTGCCTGTGTGGGTTCTCTGCCACTTCATCCCACAGTCCAAAGACGTGTGCAAGCTGGATGGATCGATGTATTTGTCATGAAATGTTTAAAAGGTCGTAACTGAGTTCTTCTGCCCCCCCAAAAATGGTAAATAGCCTGTATTTGTATAGCGCTTTTACTAGTCCCTAAGGACCCCAAAGCGCTTTACACGTCCAGTCATCCACACACACTGGTGATGGCAAGCTACATTGTAGCCACATCCACCCTGGGGCGCACTGACAGAGGCGAGGCTGCCGGACACTGGTGCCACCAGGCCCTCTGACTGCCACTAGTAGGCAACGGGTGAAGTGTCTTGCCCAATGACACAACGACCAAGACTGTCCAAGCTGGGGCTCGAACCGGCAACCTTCCGATTAGAAGGCGAACTCCCAACTCTTGAGCCACAATCGCCCGTGATTGTCATGTAGTCAGTAGCATCCATCTTTAACCCTTTGCCCTTATTTTGGCTCAACCGACTGACATGTAAGCTTACTGATGAGATTTTGCATACATCTATGTTCATGAAAAAATACATCTACTGGAAATCCAGTAAATGTAATAAACTGAACCAAAGTGAAGACTTACGACAGAGTCAGTGGAGTTCCATCTACCCATTTCCACTGTCCCTCCATTCCATTGTCAGTCAAACCAATCCAAGTGTTTTCTTTGATGATTGTAGTGAGAAAGTTCTGTTTAACATAAAAAAAACATTTTTTTAACCAGAATGTAGCATGTGCTGTCTGTACTAGTTTTGTCTAAACATATCTATTGAATACATGAAAAGAAAATTCTTAATTTCTTTGTCACATTTCTCACAATTAACTAAATTTATTTGCCCCTTGAAAACTAACAGGTCACATTAGGGTGGAGAACCAGTGTATACCTTCATCTTCAGCTCCCTTGCTTGTTTGGGTTTTTTTTTTTTTTTTTTGTCACCCTGCTCACGGAGAGGCAGCCCACGTGGCTCAATGGATGCTAACACCATTTCCTCTCTGCTTTTTGCAGTCTGTGGCACCCACCAGCCTCAGTAGGTGAGGTGTTAGTGCTTCTAGAAATGACGATCACATTCTGTGAGCTGAACAGCAATTTTCTTCCTGTTCAGTTCAGAGTGGGCGTTAAAAATTGCCCTTTTTTTTTTTTTTGCCTGGTGTGTTTTCTTTTCTATCTGAACTGTTTAATGATGCAGTGTTTGTCAAAAGAGACTCAATGTGCATGGTTAAACAGGCCTTCAGGCTTTACAGTCATTCATTTGTTAAAAAAACAAAATAAAAACATAAAAAGCAGAAAAGCCACAAACACATCTCTAGAAGACCCTACAGGCTTGCTATGCACCAACCAAGACTCTGATCGATGGACAGATGAATGTAGTTTTGCTTTTACCAGCTGCACAGATGATCGCTGTCTATGTGTGTCATTCTGTAACACCAACTCTATTTTGCATTCTCTCTTTCCCGGGCCATTCACTGTAGGAGGGCAGCTATGTGTATCTAGTGTGCCAGAGCCTGGGTTTTACCTTAAAGGCCACCAAGTGCTCCTGTTGAGTAAATGCCACTGCAGGATTAGAGCAGATTAAAAAGAGTGTTTTCATGCAGTGAAAGTGTGGAAAAAAATCTTAACACCTCAGCATGTTTCTGAAAGCTGGTTTTCCCTCATTAACACATTGCCACAGTGTGAAATGCAAAGGGAAACGGCCAGAAAGTTCAGGAACTCAAGTGTACGGTATAACTTGCATGCATGTCTTCATTTCTTACCTGCTGTTGCTAGCAAACAAATGACAGCTATTTGTCTACAAAAATTGCTGCGAAATACACAGAGGTGTGGCAAAGCACCACGAAGAGCTTGCTTTTCAACATGACTCTCTTTCTCCTTTCTTTCCCTCTTTAATCGTTGCCTGAAGTTCCCTACGTTCTTCTCAGTCACCTGAGCAACGAATCAGGTACCAGGTTTTTAAGTAGCTGCCAGATGACGAGGCTTTGAACTCAGTGGCCTCATAACAGTACAGTGGATGAATGTCAATGTATGCACGAAGTTCTCGAGAGAGCACTGTTTAATATTTGGAACAGCAGCTCTGGGTTGTGGATACAGTCAGCATACTGCACCCTTTGCATACTCTGATGACATTCACCTCACTCCCACTCAGCATGCCCCGAGTGTCCTAGTTTACTGCATGAGCTGCCGCTGTTGCTTCCTGTCAGTTCCATTGGATTGCAAATACGGTGTGCTGCTGCTGTACTTACTGTCAGCACATTTGTGGATTATTTGATTTGATTAGTCTCCATTTATGAGAGCAGTTTGCATGCTAAGCACTTGTTTCCTGTTGTTGTTGTTGTTGTTGTTGTTGCTGATGTGTCACGGTATCTGCATTCCCACACTGCACCGAGTCTGTGGGCCGTGTGAGTGGAATATTAACGCGCGTTTCTCTTTCAGTACCTTCAGCAGGAATGACTCGCTTGGCTCGCTCACGCACCACCTCCTCTTCCAGCATCACCTCCATGGACAACAGTCGCAGCCGCAGCAACATCAACAGCCTGCTGGAGGGTGGCACCACCGGGAGCCTGGACAGCAAGGCTGGGCCCCAGACCATGGAGGTCTCCTGCTAAGCCCCCAATCCGCCCCCACCTCGCACTCTCCCATAGTAACTTATGTCCCTTCTCCACGTCTCTCTAACTTTCTCTCTCTCTCATCCTAAGCAGCTCAATGCTAGGAAGATCTATAATGATCTATGTGATTAGAAAGGAGGATGTAATAAATATATTAACAGATCCATATTATAAAATATTGTATTAAATACACTGTCAAACTCACATTCCTATCAGAAACCATAACTCCATTCAGATGTGTTGTATATTCAAAAACCATATGATTGACCATATGACTCAGCTGTCCAGTCCTGTATTTATTTTTTTTCACATTGTCGTTGTTTCAAATGTCTTCACACAGTGTAGAAATCAAATCAAAGTAACTGGGTTTTTTAAACTCCTAACATCGATTGTAAATCATGATTGTGTGTCTTTATTGTCAAACTAGCTGCAATGCAAATTAGATACAACGCACAGCAGGAGATCACTTAATATTTGCAGAAATAAAGTTGCATAGAAAGTGATGTGGATGATGCGTGCAAGTAGCATTGCATACTGTAGCACACTGTAAGTCCAGCTAAGTTAAATGTAGAGCTGCTCTTGAACTTTCAGTTGTGTTTCACTTCAAGTAATTTGACTTTGTTTGGTTTTTTAACTCAACCCAGCATTTCATTTTCCCTTCTGCTTTGTGTTGATGTTTTTTTTAATTTGCTTTTTTCCCCCTTTTTTTGATGTTGTTCAGTTGACTAGTATATTCATTGTTGTTTTAACAACCTTCAACAAGTGGGATCTGATGTGAAAAGTATGAGTCCCTTCCATCAGGGGCCATGTGGTGCTTCTCACTGTCTGCTGATTAGCTCATTTATATTACTACTGAATAAAGATACGAGACGAGAACGTGTCTTGTTTTTATTTGTCAGTGCTTTTACCAATAATTCTGCTAAACCAACGGCTTGTGAACAAGCGTGCAACCTAATCGAATGAATGACAGAAAGAGCGCGTCTGCGAGCAGAGCGTTCTCATACATCGGCTCTCCCGTTAGTGGAAAAGTGCGGTGGCTGTGGTGAGTGAGTTTCCAACCGCTCTTGTTTCTTATTTTGTTTCTGAGAGATAACTTCTGCTGTCACAGACGAGGTGGTCTATATTTAGCACATGTTACAAAAACAATGATCAGCTGCTCTGTAAATAAGATGATGATTTCTGAAAACAAAGCAGAATGGGAAAATAGTGTTAATATGCTAATCAGAACACACACTGAGGACCTGCTTACTGTAATGATTGTGGGAGCTCTGTTGCTAATTATTAATTGCCCTTACTTGATGGAGCTTTCCAAGCATTTTTGCATAGAATATAATGTGATGACATGCATAAACCCCATTATGACGAATGCCCTGTTTTTGTTGACATCTGTGGTGCATTTACTGAGGTTGTACTCGGAGAAGCTGAGTCGGGCTGATCATTGCATAATTTTTTTTACACGAGTTGACTAAAACACAGGAAATATGCACTATTTAGTGACCCTTTTTCAGTTTCTATTTGAGAAAGATGTACATCAGTGGTTTGGAATGAGTTAATCTCAGATTTTTTTTTTTTAAAAGAGCACAAAGTTCTTTCCATCTGTGCTAACAAGCTGTTCTGGTGATTCAGCACCAATCTGATCTGTTCTTGCTGTATTGTTTCCGTGCAGGGTACACTTGCTCATTTGCGTCTGAAGCAGCTCAGAGTACATCTGATTAAGACACAGAACAAGGAGATATGACAGTTTTATCTTGGTTTTATTAATATTTCCAAGAACGACTGGTTTGGTGTGTGTTTTTTCAACAGAGACATGTTTTTCTTTCCTACCCTCTCATGGTTTCATAAGCAGTAGAGCTACACAGTTACAGAATTCGTGACAATTTAAAAAAAATAATAATCTGGATTGCCTTTCACCTTTTCACACTTACATGTATAAAAGAGCAGGACCCCACTGGTGGGCTGTTTCTGCATTGTCACTGTGGTGGATGGATGAGAAATCATGGCACGTGTGGGTTGGCAGTGGAACCGCCTGATTCTGCAGAAGTTTGTCTTTTATCTCACAGCAACAACTGGAATCTTAACATGATGGATAATAATGTAAAGAGCGAAAACATCTCCACGGTTTTCCCTTTTCCGCACATTTCAAAATACAGAAATTCAGATAGTTTGTCCAGTATAAGCTTATTTTACATTAACTGTCACTGTAAACTGATGACACCTCTTCAACCCACAATGCGCCGCAGGGTTCATGTACATGGGGATGACAAATTTCACTGACGTACACATTCATTCCATAAACAAGCGCACAATTGGTGCCTCTTCAAAACAGCCTGCATCAGAGAAATCAACTTGAGGTAGTTTATGTCACTGTTGAGCGTCACAGGAAGTTGCAGTTAAGCCGCATGTATAAAAGCCAGGCAGGAAGCTTCCTCTCTTCAGTGAGCCCACGCGATAAACAGCTGCGCAAACACAGCAGTCTTCGTGGTAACTGATCAGAGCAAGGAACACACTGAATGAGCAGCGTGCCTGAGTAGGAACTTGAGCTTATACATGTACTACACGTTACCCAAGCAACATTGGATGTGCTGAAGGCAGAAGAGCATTTTTCACTGGGAAGACTTGGATTTGATTTGTTATCGTGAAAGGAGTCTAACTAATTGAGCGGAATATATTTTCTGGAGGGACATTTTTCATCCAAGAATTGAAAAAGGTGAGAATATGCTTTTCTTTCTTACCATTTCCCCCCTTTTGTTCCAGGACTTCACTTTCACAACGAGGAAATTATGCTTAAATTTCCTTTGAATTTTTGTCACTGAGTGATGATCATGCACTGCAAAGAAATGGAGTGGTTAGTTACGGTGTTTTAGTTTGAGATATGTTCCTGCCTTGCTGCTACCGCAGAAGTAAAATCTCATCTCACTTTGCATTTGAGAAACTGACCATAGTTCTCAAATAAGTATTGCATTGGAAATTTAACACAGGATATCATACCTCTTGTTGTGGTTAGGCGCCTTCCTGTATTCTGGTTTTGTTGCCCGGATTCAGGTGTCCTAAAAAAAAAATCCTGCACCTCTAAGTAGCTTTACAGATACCACAATGCCAATGCATGAACTACATTTGCAGTTCAATTATGAATTTGTGCTACTAAAGGCGATTTCATAATAACGCTATATTTTTTTCCCCCTAGCAGCAGTAGACATTTCAAATTAGCAAGAAAACCACAGACAATGGGGACCTGCCTCACCAGATGCCAATCCAACCTGACAGTCTTTGAAAACCCAGATGAGTCAATGGGTAGGTTTAATCCCAGGACAGAAATATGTGTGTGTATGTATGTGTGTATATATATATATATATGTATGTATGTATGTATAATTAGCCAAAGGCAAGATTAAAATCAAATATCTCTTCCTTTCCATCTGTGCAGAGAGCCCAGAAACCGTGATTGTGTCTCTTGTTGATTACCCATCATTTGGAGAAACACAACTGACCATGTGCATTGGGGAAAGACTGACCATGACATCAGAGTATGTATTACTGCTCTTAATGTTTCAGTTTTAAAGTTCAGCTACAATTAGTGATGAGTGTCATTTATTTATTTCTGTATTTATTTTAACTCACAGTGACGGGGACTTCATAATGGTGAGATCCACAACGACAGGCCGGGAGAGCTACGTCCCTATCGAGTACACGGCCAGAGTTACTGACAGGTACAGACACAAGGACCGCGTTAGCAGATTTGTCACATTTTTCTGTGCGTGACAAAAGTCGGAGGAGTTGAAATGAAAGGGGAGGCGGGGAGTTCCCTGAGAGGTGGGAGGGGTCCCTGTGTAGGTGAACTTTTACCTCAGTGGAGACAAATGTTTGGAACAGAGCTTTTCTTTTTCGGTAACATGATCAGCTCCTCCCTCCTGCAGTTTCAGTCCTCCTCCAGTGGTGAATGTGCTCTGATGTTGTTCCACTGGATTTTTCCTAACAGTAAAATATGACATTGTCCTCTCATCTTACTGTTCTGAATGTGCATTTTTTAAATTATTATTATGCAGGTGGCTGTTCAAAGGCATCAGCAGGTACAAAGCAGTGGAGCTGCTCATGCGTCCTAATAACCAGAATGGAGCCTTCTTGATTCGAGAGTCAGAGACAAGCAGAGGTTAGAGGTTTTTATTGTTTTTTATTCCCCCTTTGTTAATTGTTAGATTTATCATTACCATTCAGTCCGAAGCCAACATCATGCTAGGAACCCTGAAATTTCTTCATTTGAAGCTGCATTTCCCCTTAGCCTAGCTTTGCTGGGGAGGAGTATTTCCTACCCAGTTATTTTCATTTTCATTTCTTCTGTACTTCTAAAAGTGGTGATGGCTTGTTACACTTATTAAGTATGTATAAAGGATTGTTATTGTTCATGTATATGAATTTATTTATTTATGGAGTATTCATCATCAGACATTGAATCCAGTATAATAATTTCCTTAAGCAAAATCGCCCTTAAACTGCTATTTCTATTTCTAATGAAGGCACAGCTATTTACAGACTATACTGTAAAGCTCAGTAGAAATATTTAGTTTGCTTCAGAAACAACTGGAACTATGGTTAACAACTAAGACTGGCATATTTTATTAATTCCTGCATCTGTGTGTTATTTCTTTCTTTAGATTCCTACTCGCTATCTATCCTGAGGAGAACCAGCTCTTCGCACCAGGACTGTGTGAAGCACTACCGCATTTCTACCCTCCCGAATGGATGGGTCTACATATCTCCAAGCCTGACTTTCTCCACCCTGCATTGCATGGTGGAACACTATTCAGGTTCGTATTAATGTTGAGGCTATTTTTGCTTTAACACTAAAGCCCTTGAAAAGATCGATGCTAAAATGTTGCCTTCTTTTGCAGAGACCGCAGATGGATTGTGCTGTCGGCTGGCAATGCCTTGCTTCATCCAGGGTTTAGACAATGCTGAAGAGGCCCGGCCTATTCCAATAACGACCAGGAGGCCCACCATCAAATGGAAGGAAATCAGCAGGTGTGGCTCGCTCTAGATTTACTTGTACTGATGTCTTCCATAAGATGTCACTCTGTGACTCATTTTTCAGCGCTGTCTTTCCTAGATTAGCATCAAGATCGGCCTTTTCCGTTTATGTTGACAGTCTGTTAGAAAGATAATGATTCAGCACTGCAGTAATGTACTGAATAAACTGGTGTGAAGAGTGTGTAAACAACACCGGCAGACATGCCAACAGATAGGCCTGTGGTTACAGTGGGTACGTGCCAGTTGTGAATGTGTGGAACCTGCAAATGTAGAGCAGGATGTGCAGGTTGAAACGGCAGTCTCCAACGGATTCATTTACCACATCACTTTCCTCACTGAAGTCTCAAATTCTTCTTTGTCCCCTCCAGATCGGTGATCTTAAAGAGGAAGAGGACAGTGTCAGACCACTCTCTGGTGAGCGAGGGGCTCAGGGAGGCTATTTACTCCTACCTCCAAATGACCGAGGCCGGCGAAAACAGCTGCTGGGACACTTGAGGAAAGACTGCAGAGTGAGACTCTGTAATTCATCGGCTGCGGCTTGGGGATCCCACTGGAAGAGGCCGTCTACACGCCCAAGTGCAGTCTTTAGAGACTGCCCTGGAATAGCGAGAGGGCTGAGACACTACGCTGTGTGGAGATATGCAGTACTGCAAACTATATGAGCTGGAGGACTGCTTTTGTGGATGTGTGTCCAAAGAGGCATACAGAGGAGCTTTGAGAAATGTGTTCTCATTTGGCTCCGAAACATTGAATGTATCTTTTAATTTATAAACTAATGTGTACTTGCAGGTTGAATGTCATATTATGTGTTAATATTATTGGAATATGATTGTTATCATGGTTGTGTCATTGTAATCCAATAAAAATATATAATTTATGTAACACATGTGGAGATTCTGTGAAATAACCAAACAACTTCGAGGGGAACATGCTAAAGTCCATTTGCTATGCTATTCCATAAAAAAATGAAAAACATGCTCTTGTACTGACACATGCATAGCCACACACGTATAGTACACTCATAGAGACATGTAGCCACAGCTTTAAAAGTGCAAAGACATCCGTGTTAGACTGCAGAGGCAAAGCAAGAGAAACACTTTCTCTGGGTGCCAAAGTGGATCACTGAATTCACGATACACTTGCTATCAGTACACAATATCCTCAACACCCTCAACAGGGTGGCTGTAGCTCAGGTGGCAGAGCAGGTCAGCCACTAATCAGAAGGTCGGTGGTTCGATCCCTGGCTGCATGCCAAATATCCTTGGGCAAGATACTAACCCCGTGTTTGCCTACTGGTGGTGGTCAGAGGGCCCGGTGGCGCCTGTGTCCGGCAGCCTCGCCTCTGTCAGTGCGCCCCAGGGCAGCTGGGGCTACAATGTAGCTTGCTATCGCCAGTGTGTGAATGGGTGGATGACTGAATGTAGTGTAAAGCGCTTTGGGGTCCTATGGACTAGAAAAGCGCTATACAAATGCAGGCCATTTACCAACACTTTTCCATTCGTTTTGCAGTTTTCGAGTTTTGAAAACAAGCTGCACAAACCGATGAATGACTTATGTTTTTTTAGTCGTGCTGGTTACCATTGCCGCAAAAACACGAAACTACTGTGAAACGAATACTTGTACCGAGCTTGCACTGCAACAACTCATCTTTTAAGTACGTACGTTTAAGATTAATTAACGTAAGTTCAAGTAGTTCAAGTGTCCGTAGAATTCAGCCGCCGCCAATAACGCCTACGCTTGTGTGCAATATATAAAAAAATTTAAGAACGCAAAAATAATTATGGCAGGCCTGAATTTTTTTTTTATTATTTTTTTTACTTTGTTTATATATCGCGGTATATATGTATAAGAACGTAATTACCAAACGCACAAGCTCGTAGAGTCTGCTTCTCTGCCAGCAGATGCCGCTTAATTGCCTCAAATAATTCATCAAAGCCTTTCACTTCCTGCCCAAACAGTTCAGTTCAGGAAGAAGAAATAATGGCGACGCTTCTGGGGTGCGAGTCCCCTTGTACGAGAGGAAAACGAAGAAACTACAGTAGCAATATCATCACGAAGTTCACGGCCACTAAAATCACTGGCCAGGGCTTCAGTCGAGGAACACAGGTGGGAGAAACGACATTTGTTTTGACTGTTAAACCACTCGAAAGTTGATCGACTGAGACCAGGGACTTGCGCTTGGAATCGAGCCTGAAAGGAAGATGTTGTCCGAGAGACCTAGCTGGAGCTGTAGTCGCTCCTGTCAGCTCGGGCTTGACTAAGAGGCTAAACATAACGGGGTGTGATTTTTCTTTGGCAATTTTAAACTATGATACAACCTATTGCCAGGAAACATGTTTTTGCTCGCTGACAATCCAAATGACGCTGTCACTGCTACAAGTGTATGAGAAAAGCTCCGTTGAAGTGGCTCTTTTGTTGTTAGCTTTACATTAGCTTAGCATTGGAGGCCAGGTTTTGTACGATATAAAACATTTTAAAGTCGGTTGTCTTCGGACTGTTCTTATGGCCGCTGACTATAATAATGTAAATATTTCTACAGCGCCCCTCACTTTATTTTCTAAATACTGTAATCTTGGTATAAACGACAGTAAGATTTGCTAATGGTAGTGAAGGAGCTAGCGACAGCTAACTAGCTAAGCCAGCAGAATAGCTCAGGTGATTACGTAACAGCACTAACCACAATAACTATCGTTTCCATAAATGGGTACGCCACAACAGCTGTTAAGGTATGTTAACGTTCGCAGGTTTATTTTTGTGCCATTTACACGATATTTCTAAGTGTGAAGGGTTGGTTGGTTTTTGATTTAATGCTAGCGACAGCTTACGCCAACTGTTTAGATTTCCACGTATCTTCGTGCATACGAATGTCGCAGCTCTCCGGGTGTTTCCACACGTTCAACTCATGCATATCTATTATGATATTGCCCGTTTCATCCTAAAAAAAAAAAGCCGTCAAATTGCAAAGCTGATTAAACCCATTAACACCTTTTTTGTTTTCAATGCATATGTTAGTGGCGTGACTGTCACATTTCCAGCTAGCGTACTGCGTAATGACGTTTACAAAGAAGCTTTGTTCTTAAGTAGAGGTTCTAATAACGCAAGGTATTTCCAGCGTTATCTGTTAACGCCCCCGATAACCCTGAACACGTCGACTTTAAACAAGTTTTCTTAGGCCGTCCAGGGAATGTTATGAATTGCTGTAATTTGGGAAAACACAGGAGTCCTGCCAGTTCTGCTGACACATGAACAGATTTTAAGGAGGGTATGTCTTGTGCTGTGGTTTGAGCCTTCAGTTGTCAGAGCAGTCCACTTGGTGTTTTAGGTTGAACTGCCTCTGAGACATGAATTAAAGCTAATTATTTGATCATTCTTCAGCTTTTTGCCCAATTTCAGCAAAGTTGGTGGAGATGGTGGAGCATGGCCAAAACAATTACCCATTAAATTTTGTTACAGATCATTTTGTTTAAAATTGCCTGAAAGGTTCTTAGGCCTTGATTGATTACTCTCTGAGTTTTTTTTTTTTTTTTCATTTCATCATCTTTAATATAAAAAAAAAAGGGGGCAATATTAAGAATTGGTCAAATCATTTCATGTGAAAGTGACAGTAGGAAGACTGGGCTTGTTTGCTGTTTTCACAACCAGTACCTGCCCAGAGTAAACAGAGTTAAGATATCACACATTGTAATAAAGTCAGTTTGTCATGCATAAATATGCTTTTTTTTATCTCAACTTTTTATTTCATTCTTTCTCAGTGAGACGTTTTCTGGTAACAACATTTAAAAACATGCATATTTACATTTTCTTTCGCATATTTTTAACTTGGTCAATAATGTTTTTGTGTAGATGTTCTTTTCTTCCAGGAAGTTTATATGTCACAATAAATATGTGTTTCCTGTGATCAAGGGAGGCAATGACTCTGATCTTAAGGTCTCTATGACTTTAGATTTCATAAGGTTTAAATAGAAACTCTGTTGGGGCATGTTAGCTTTTGTAGTCTATGGTATGATCAAAGGTGTGGCTTTTTTAGTTTCATTTAAAAGAAGGCTTACTGCCTTGCTGTTCTCATAAAATGTTTCTTTCTTTGAAAGTTGCAAACCTATTGGAATGAGAATTTTATTATTTATTTGACTGACTCATAAAATATGTGTGTTGTATGTGTTATAGTCAATGTCACGCTGCTTTTATGTTTATTAACGATGTAATTTTATTTAAAGGTCTAAAAGAAAATTGTATATTTTTACTATGTATAGCTGATTTCACAAAAACGTCATACAGTTTAGAATAAAGTATGAGAAGACCTTCTCACATAGCGGACAGTAAATGTCAGACTGATTTTTCACTACTGAAAGTACTATGTAGTATTGTGGTTTCTGAGCAGAATGTGCAGGACAGAGCATTTACTCGTGGTGAATTCTCAAAACAATTACCTGTGCTATTCACAGATTGACTTAATCAAACATTACAGACTTGAAACTAGGGAGCTGGTGGGATAAAGTCTGTTTAGTGCTAATTGGATTGATTCTGACATTTGCAGTCTCATATACTGCTCCTCTAAGTAGTATCTAGTTCAGGACTGCAGTGCATGTTTGAAAAGGGCTCATGTTGCCTCTTTATGTGTTGTAGCTCCCAGGAGGCCTGCTTCAGGAGAGAGATAAACGTGCCAAGTGGAATGGCATCCCTACTCTGCTGCAGAAGCTCTATGAGAGCAGCCATCCCAACAGTGACCTCTCCCATGCCCACACCTTTCTTAAGGTATCCACATAGCACTAGTCCATCAAAGGAGGCAGTGAAATGACTGGTTTTAGCTTCTTTTTTTTTTTTTTTTTTTTTTTTGCTTAGTGTTTTACTTTGAAAACTGGTGGGGAAAATAGTAATGTGACCACTGTTTTTTTGGCAGTTATTATTATCCCAGCTGTCTGTGGAGGCCATGTCCTTTGTCACAGAGGACAGGAAGACCGCTCAGGAATCCACCTTCCCCAACACGTACACTTTTGACCTCTTTGGTGGAGTTGATGTAAGTCTTACATTCTTGTGGTGTTATTGGACTGAAGCTGTCATTTCTGAAGAATAAACTCTCATGTATAGCTCAACTCCTCCTGAGATACTGGAGAAATAAAATGGTTTTCTCATTTGTCTGTGTTCATAAAGCTTCTAGTGGAAATCCTGATGAGACCTACACTAACTATGCAGAAGAAGAAACCTAAAAGTAAGTAGGACTGCCATAACATCTGTCCGCATTTCTGCGTTTTAGTTCTTAGTTTTTTTCCTATAATTCTGAAACAGTCAGATTAATATTTGTGCTTCTGTTACAACAGTGAATGATGACCTGGTCAAAGACTGCCTTAGTGTTCTGTACAACTGTTGCATATGTGTAAGTACCATGTTACATCTTTTTCATATAAAATATGCCGCGCACATCATATTTTCCCTTCCAGTTGTTTGCCTTGATGCAGAATCATTTTTGCATAATTTAATGACCGTGTAAAATTCCTTGTTTAAATTCATAGACGGAGGGTGTCACAAAGAGTCTGGCTGCTAGGGATGACTTTGTTCTGTTTCTCTTCACCTTGATGACAAACAAGAAGACCTTTCTGCAGACTGCTACCCTTATTGAAGATATTCTTGGAGTAAAAAAGGTGTGTCAAAGTAAAGAGTTCTACTTGGATTAAGTGACAGTAGGGGGTAAATGTATTTATGGATCTCTTGACTTCACTTTAATGCATAGTTACTCAACTATTTAAAAATGATTTTAAGCAATGGATTATAATCGTGTGTTAGCCATGCAACAGACTGGCGACCAGTACAGGGTGGACTCTGGCAAAAACTCCAGGTACTTAATTATCCATAACTAAGCCAGCTATCTGTCAGAGCACTTTGGAGATTATAAAATGCGACTGATTTAATTTTATGCTGTGTGCTCCTGATGGTTTAGACATCTCTCTCACTTCACTTAGCAGCTTTCCTTATCTTTTTACTAATTATGACAGATAATCCTTTGGTCCATGAAAATGTATAAGTCACAGTTAGCCTAGTTAGTATGTATTATTCTGATCATTTGTCAGTTTTGTAAATACAAAAGAAGTAAATATTTTCAGGTCTTACGCGTAAACTGGCGTGTAGCATTTATACATATATCTGCTGGGTCAAATCAAATTTAGTCGGGGTCTGTCTCAAAAGTTACTTTTGAAAGTGTTGCAATGTCTGCATTCTGTTCACATTTGATGTTTTACATCTGGTCACACCTTTCAGGAGATGATCC